TTTCTTTTTTATTATTTCATTTGGCCAATTTGGTTTGCTTTCTGTTTTACTCGTTTGCCGTAGATGTTATTCGCTTCGTTTTTTTCTGGCGGGTGTCAGTTATATTAATTTGTTTCTTGAAGAGTGCAGCTTCTTTATTGATAGAATCTATTTGTAATAGAGGGCCATTGGCTTTTGTGAAGTATGCTTTTAATCCAATTGTTGTAATTTTTAGAGTTAGTAGAGTTGGATTAGGCCTCAACCACCTAAAGCTCTTGGTACGTACAACCTATCATCATCTGATTTCGAGTGGTACATCCACATTTGGGTAAACATTTTCCTGGTGTTGGCGTCCAATTTTTTTAACGTTATTCAACTTCCATTTAATAATGTCGAAGCTGTATGTTAATACGGGTATAACTAAGGTGTTGATTGCCTCCATTTTGGCTCCATTAATTTCGCTTTCTAGTATCAAACGCATTCTCCTATAATATTCTTTTCGGATGTTTTTCTTCATAATTGAATGTTGTATTCCGTATCCTTCAATAATAATAATAATAATAATAATAATTATTATTATTATTATTATTATTATCATTTTTTATTTCTAGAATCATTCACTTATACAAAGTAGTAGTTGTTTGTTTTTTTTTTTGTTTTTTTTTCATTAGCGCCATATTAGCAGCAAAAGTTCTCAAATATTCCAAGACCCTCGTTAGTATTCTAGTGGACTTTAGGTTTTTGAGTTTGTTCACAATATTGTAATACAGATATTCTGTTCAATATTTTTACAATTGTCCCGGTTTGCTGAAGTAAAAAAAAAAAAAAGCATTGGATAATGATAAATATGAAAATGAGAAGAAAGAAGAAGAAGAAGAAGAAGAAGAAGAAGAAGAAGAAGAAGAAGAAGATGGAGGAGGTAGAAGAGGAGGAGGTAGAGGAAATTTTAAAGGAGGAGGAAGAAAGAAGAGGAGGAGGCAGCAAAGAGGCCATGGTGGCGGCAGAGTAGACTTAAGAACAAGTGATTTTAAAGAAGACGGACATTAATGAATAATATGAAGAACAAGAAGTAGAAATGATCTTAATGAATGACGGAAGAGGATGCTCTTGGACATCTGGAAGTGGTTATTAAAAAAAAAATACATAGCATCTATCTAGAAGAAGAGGGAGGATGAGGAGGTGCGGATGGGGAAGGAGGAGGAGGAGGTGGGGATGGGAAAGATAAAGAAGCGGAAATTTAAAAATGAAGAAGATAATGATGAAAAGCAAAGGCGTGAAACGGGGAAGAAGGTGAAAATAACAAATGAAAAAAAGAAGAAAAAAAAGAGAGTAGACTTGATGAAAAGCGGTCTGAATTAAGAAGGAAAGAACCATGATGCTCGATGGAAGAAGAAGGAGAAGAAGAAGAATATAGACTTGATAAAAAGTAGTTTTAAAGAAGAAATGGGGAAGATAAAGAAAGAGAAAAAGAAGAAATAAATAAAAACGAAGAAGAAGAAGAAGAAAACGAGGAGGAAGAAGAAGACGAAGTGTATAGACTTGATAAAAAGTGGTAGTAATTGTGGAATGGGGAAGATAAAAAGAAAGAGAAAAAGAAGAAATATATAAAAACGAGGAAGAAGAAGAATGAGAAGACAAAGAAGAAGAAGAAGAAGAAGAAGAAGAAGAAGAAGAAGAAGAAGAAGAAGACGAAGTGTATAGACTTGATGAAAAGTGGTCTTAAATGTGGAATTGGGAAGATAAAAAGAAAGAGAAAAAGAAGAAATATATAAAAATGAGGAAGAAGAAGAAAACGAGGAGGAAGAAGAAAACGAGGAAGAAGAAGACGAAGTGTATAGACTTGATAAAAAGTGGTCTTAAATGTGAAATGGGGAAGATAAAAAGAAAGAGAAAAAGAAGAAATAAATAAAAACGAGGAAGAAGAAGAATAAGAAGACAAAGAAGAAGAAGAAGAAGAAGAAGAAGAAGAAGAAGAAAGCAAAGTAGACTTAAAGAAGTGATTTTAAAGAAGACGGACAATAATAATAACAAGAACTAGAAGTGATCTTAATGAAAGATGGAAGAGGATGCTCTTAGACATCTGGAAGTGATTATAAAAAAAGGCATTGCAACTATCTAGAAGAAGAAGAAGAAGAAGAAGAAGAAGAAGAAGAAGAAGAAGAAGAAGAAGAAGAAGAAGAAGAAGAAGAGGAGTGAGAAGAAGAAGACAAGGAGGAAGAAAAATACGAAGTATATAGACTTGATAAAAAGTGGTCTTAAATAAGGAATCGGGAAGATAAAAAAAAGAAAATGAAGGAAAAATAAAAACAAAGAAGAAGAAGAAAGCAGAGCAGACTTTATGAAGAAGTGATTTTAAAGATGGCGGATTTTAATAAGAACAAGAAGTAGAATTGATCTTAATGAAAGACGAAAGAGGATGCTAGTGAGACATCTGGAAGTGGTTATAAAAAAGACATAGCAACGAACTACTAGAAGAAGGAGGCGGAGGAGGAGGCGGAGGAGGAGGAGGAGGAGGAGGAGAAGAAGAAGAAGAAGAAGAAGAAGAAGAAGAAGAAGAAGAAGAAGAAGAAGCCGTGTCGGCCTGAATAAAAGTAATGTTAAAAAGTCAGGTATTTTCTTCCGACCATTCTGTTCATTAATGTTCAATCTTTATGTTTTGATCACGATTTCTTGAGAAATTGACTTAAAAAGAAAATTCAACGACATTTATGAAGTACACGCTTTGAAAAACGCTTTGAAAAACGCATATTTCCTTTTATAAATTCTTTGAGTTCACATTCAGTAAAAAAATATCCAGTCTGCTGTTTACAAAGGCGGACATATCTTCAAAATTATAAACACGATATCAGTAATATTTAATCATTTTCTCCAAGATAAGAACCGCTATTCCAAATAGCATAGCAAATTCTTGGGAAGTGTTTTAACAGAGCACGGAAAGTGCTACACTGGAATCCAAAAGCGCATTGGGATAGTAAAAGAAGCCTTCCAAAATCTAAGTAAAGTATTAAGGTACAGGAAAATTTCGTAGGAAACAAAGAAATAATTACTGGGCTGATATGTAATAACTCCTTCTACATGGCAGAGAATGCTGAGCAATCTCCTCACAGATGGAAAAAAGACTTCAGGCAAGAGAAATGTAGCTCTACAAAAAGGAAACTTATACTTAACATCGGGAAGAGAGAATATCATGGATGGAACATAAAGAAGAGACTTGAAGCAACAGAAATGTGGTTCTACAGAAGCATGCTGAGAATAACTTGGACCGAACATGTGAGCAACGACGAAGTTTTAGAGAAAATGGAAAACAAAAAGGACACTTATACTTAACATCGGGAAGAGAGAATATCATGGATCGAACATGAAGAAGAGACTTGAAGCAACAGAATTTTGGTTCTACAGAAGCATGCTGAGAATACCATGGACCGAACATGTAAACCACGACATTTTAGAAAATAAATGGAAACATAAAGGACACCTCTGCTTAGCGGCAGAAAGAGACAGCTGAAATTTCGAAGGCACATAATAAGAAAAGAGGGCTTAGAAAATTTAACACTCACAGGACATATTAAATGAAAGGGGGACAGAGGAATGTACTGATACTCAGTGGCTAAGGTGCCAAAAATAGTCTGAAAACAGTGGTGGAGACACAGAGTTTCGCAGGCGGGCATATGACCCCCCCCCCCCCCAGAAATAATTTATGATCCCCCAGTTTTGTCCCCCCGTCAAAAATTTTCTAATAAATTGTCGGGAAATTTGTGAGTAGGAAAAATAGCAATGTTTTCAGCTTTCATGTGTTTCAGTTGCTACAATCTTGGTTACTAACAAGAGACATTGTTGTAACATTTTATCGGATGATATGGTGTTTTAACTCTGCATCATTAATAACAACAAAGCGAAATACGAAGCCAAAAGTGCAACAATTTCAGTCTTGCCTGTGTATCAATTCGCTGAGATACAATTTTCCATTGAGTGAGCGATATACTTTTGAATATATATACTAGTGTTAGGACGATTAATCGGAATCGGAATCGAGAATCGGAAAAATCGGAACTTTTTAGGGTATCGAAATCGGAAAAATTTGTGCCTATTTTCCGATTCCAAACACAATTCTTTTAATTTTTTAACTTAATTTTCTATTATGAGTACTAATGATAAATATTTATTGTTTTTTAAATTATCACTAAAACTAAAATCATAACATCAAAATACGATGTAAATTTATCTTACTTGTATAAAGAAAAACAAAAAAAATAAACTTTGCATAAATTCTCTAGGTAACCTTTAAAAAAATGCAGTTGATTTACAATGTTCCGAAAAATGCTTAAAAATTAAATAGAACATTTTTGTCAAGAAAAATACTTTCAAACATCATTGATAATTAAATGGTACCCAGAAAATGATGCAACAAAAATTGGACACCAGAAAATTAGCAACAGAAAATTACGTCAACCATGAGCCAGTCGAAGACTGTCGGATCTGGCTGTGCTGTCCATTGAAAACGAGCTTACAAGACAAACAGATTTTGACGATGTCATTGACCAGTTTGCCACAATGAAAACAAAAAAACATTCATTCTAAGACCATAGTATCGAATGTCATTCTTTTGTGTATTGTCGTGTTTTGTATTTAGTTGTTCTGAAAGTGAACAGTTGCTTTTGATTTGAACTGATTATTTTGTGGTATTGGATTTTGTCTTGGATCATACATGTAAACAGTAACGTACCGGTCAGTAGAGTAAAGTAGAGGTAGAGCATGTATGAAAATTTAGCTACAGCTAAACATTCAGCATAGGGTGAATCGGGGTCATTGGGGTGACATTTGAGCGGACCGACCCGGGTGACGTTTACTCTAGCTACGCCACTGCTGATACTAACAGGAAATGCTCGACTATCTTAGCCACGAGGCAACTACTGATATTTACACCTCTTAAAAGTCCAAAATTCACTGGTACCCAATGAGGATTAAAATCTCTAGAGCAATAATGGCTGACAAAACAATGACATTTTCTCCATATTTGAACGGCACTGGATCGTTTAAGATATCCGAAGTTAAGCAATGTTGAACCTGGTCAGTACTTAGATGGGTGACTGTTCGGGAATACTAGGTGCTGTAAGCTTGGGTGTGTGGATGGTGAAATAGATAGATGATCGGCAGTAACAGCCTAACAGGCACCAATATCAAACAAGTGGGAAGTGTTTTAACAGAGGACGGATAGAACGACACTGAAATACAAAGACGCGTTGGAATAGCGAAAGATGCCTTCCAAAAGCTAAGCAAAGTATTAAGAAACAGAAAAAAAATCGCTAGAAACAAAGAAAAGCGCACAGAACTGTTACGTAATATCAATTTCCCGATATGTTAGTGAATGGTAGACAATCTCCTCACAGATGAATACTGAATAGATGAAGAAGAGAATTGAAGCAACAGAACCGTTGCTCCACAGAAGGATGCTGAGAATACTATGGACTAAAGATGCGAGAAACAACAAAGTTTTTAGAGAAAATAAGATAGTGAATTTTCTAGAGCATATAATGAGGAAAAGGTGCTTGGAAAATGTGGTACTCACAACACGTAATTGAAGGCAAGAGGGACAGAGTAAAACAACGCATAACCTGCCTAGCGAGCTTGAGTAAATGGGGGAATGGTTTGGGAGCGATAACAGAATTTATTAAGAGCTACATTGTACAGGAAATAGAAGATAAATAATTCTCTGATCATTAATAACAATCAAAGCGCACATTCACACACACACACACAAACAAACACACACACACATATATATATATATATATATATATATATATATATATATATATATATATATATATAGTCAAACTATGAGACAGACTGTTTCAAATATCACAGCTCATCAGTTTGAACAGATATCCGATTGCCTCTAAAAGAATTGAAACCCGACAGATTTGGCATCCGACGGAGATTTTTTCCGTCAGCTATCATCTCCCGGCAGAGAGTAAGGTGAATTTTTACGTATTTATTTTGGAATCAGTACGCCAGTGACCCAGAGTGCTCGATTCATAGAAGAGCTTTGCATTATCAGCACTAGCATTCACTGTTTACAAATTCGTCATACCCCTCTAAAGTGCTCGACCGAATTTTACTTTTTCGGGGATATATATATATATATATATATATATATATATATATATATATATATATAAGCTTTTAAATTCCTGGTGACAGAACTCTTCAGAAATCGACTACAACGGTATACAATGGCCAATAGATTCCACTATTTGTAGGATATCATTTTTTAAATCAAATGAATATGAACTGCACCGCTTTTAATTAAACGTGAAATAAATTTTTACTTTGGTCTTTTTTAACCTTTAAAATATACGAGGTAAACCATAGATATTCTACATATATATATATATATATATATATATATATATATATATATTAAAACAATTTTCTTCTAGGCATGTCTGATTGAATACATTACAGACATTATGCCTGCTAATATCTAATAAAATCTGTTCACACTCATGAATGACATTGCGTGTATTAATATTAATGGATTAGAGAAATGTGCAATAGCTGTTTAAACTTCTTTTATTTTAATTTTCCAAGTATATTCGATCTTCTTCCATGATCATCTTCAGTGGTGCAAGTAGTACAAAATTATGTTGTTCAGGGGTACAAGTATTTATACAAAGCTGTGCGTTGCTATCCATTACCGTCATTTTTCATTAAGCTTTTAAATGCTAACGTTTGACAATGCGCTGAGGGTTCATTAGAACATGAAAAAAATATCCATTATTGAATTTTTCCTTCAATGTTATAATGTCACAGCCATGCGCGCATTAAAGCGTTAATTTATAGGCATTTCAGAATATTACTGTAGTATTCATAGTTGATTCGGTTCAGTGACGGATTTAATTTTTAATATAAATTGCTTCTAGGATCTGTAGCTTGAATTTATTATTTTATTGGAGTAGGATAGTTGTGTTGTCGATTAGTAATTTTTTAGGAAGAGGAATGTCAGACACGTGTAAGACGTTAATGTAGTTGTCGTATCTCCAACATTTATATTTGTTTTCGTTTTTTGTTTTGTTTTGTTTTTGTTTTTTTGTTTTTTGTCAGAGATACATTCTCGCAAGGGACACTTGAATTGGTATATAAATTTTGGTTTTACGTAGAATATCAGTTAGTGGGGAGGAGTTATTTTCGAATAATTAAATTGGTTTTTATTGTATTTTTATAATATACTAGCAGTAGCGCCCAGACGTTGCCTAGGGGATGTAACAGTAAAGATAGATCAAGTATCAACCATCATAAAGACTGAAAAATAAAATTGACAAAGATTATTGTTTAAGGTTGACAGACACGCATGTCTTAATTAGTTTTTTTTTTTTTTTTACGAATTGGTCAAACCCAAACTCAAACAAAAACATTGTTTTCAATCGTTATGAGTCTATCGATTGAATAGAATTTTATAAAAAAACAATTGTCTTGTAAATGGAATTTTTAAAGCATTCTGAATGTAAAAATAAAGTAAAAAGTGTGCAAGACAATAAGAAACACTACCTGCCAAAAAAAGTGAAGTTTTGCTGAAATAAATTGAAAAATGTAGGAAATTCGATCCCATATATAAACGAACACACACACACACACACACACACAACCTGGGTTTTATAATAAGTATAACTCGATATGAGTTGTCACCCTTTCATTCTCGCGTCAGCGATGCCTCTTAATCGCGTTTTCAAATTGATTTCGCGCAAAAACAATTGTGTTTTTCCCATTTTTGGCGCTGTTAGAACCACCGAAAGGTAATTTTACGTAGTCCTGTGAAGTTTTGTTGAAATCGGTTGAAAAATGTAGGAAATCCGATCCAATATATAAACGTACAGACACACACACACACACACATGCACACAACCTGGGTTTTATAATAAGTATGATGATTAATTTTATTTTTTTCTATTAGAATCTTTGGAAGATATGTTAGTATAAATGAGATTATTTATGATTTTTTCATCCTGTTTGTAATTAGAATGCATCTGGTTACAAAATAGTACTTTGATATATTTAGTGTCCTTTGGGGAAGTACTATATTCTATTTGACGTGTGTTGAGGTTTTTCTATATCGTCTTATTTGTTCTACAATGTGGTTTGGGAAGTCATTATTAATGAGAGTTTGCTCAATTTTTTTTTTTTTAGTTCAGTGTAGAAATTCTTTTTTGCGGATGAATTAATTTGTACTCAGTTAATTAAATTCTGTAGAAGTTTTTTTTTCTTTTTTTTTTAAGCATTTCACCCCTAGCAAATTCACAGTCATTTAGCCGCAAGGGGTTATAGAATTTTTTAGACGAAAAGATAGGAATGATAGAGGGAAGGATGAGGAGAAGGTTAGTGGATAGAGCAAGGCAACTGGAGATGTCGATTGACATTACATTTGAATAGTTGGAGATTATAGCTATCAGGGAAACAGGAATAGGGAAGTGAGATCCATCAGGAGAGAGGTGCGACACATGAAACTATTGGAGTAGAAGAGACGGCTACATTTAACAGTTTTCAACAGTGAAAAGGTGAGAGCCTCTGCCAGCCTCGCAGGACGCTTGAAAATTCGTGAAGTTTGGGAACCAGCGAAAGCAGCTCATCGGAGCAATTACCATGAGAGTATTTGTAAAAAAGACAGAGAGAGGAGACGGCACGTCTGTGTGAGAAAATGCTATTTTGTAGTAATCTGGACAGCCAATCTTATAGTTGAGAGTGCAAAAGTTTTTGCTGGTTGTTTAATTTTATACAGAGCGCTTGTAAATGTGTTGTTATTTGTGTCTATAAAAATGTCTAGAAAAGGGATTTTGTTATCTTTGTTAAGTTCATATGTGAAATTGAGGACGGATTTTTTTTAAATGATTTTTTTAGTTCCATTATTTCTTATGTGTATATCATTTACACACATTACGTAGATGGACGGTTTCTTGGTGGTACTAAATACATTATTTTCTAGTTTATCCATATAGAAATTACTGAAGGTTGGACCTAAAACTGAAACCCATTTAAACACCATCACGTTAAAATATACGTTACTAGCAGTAGAGCCCGGCGTTACCCGGGGATGTAACTGTAAGAGATAGATCAAGTATCGACCCTCATAAAGACTGAAAAATAAAATTAACAAAGATTATTGTTTAAGGTTGACGGACACGCATGTCTTAATTAGTTTTTTTTTTTTTTTTTTTACGAATTGGTCAAACCCAAACTCAAACAAAACCATTGTTTTCAATCGTTATGAGTCTATCGATCGAACAGAATTTTATTATAAACAATTGTCTTGTAAATGGAATTTTTAAAGCATTCTGAATGTAAAAATAAAGCAAAAAGTTTGCAAGACAATAAGAAACACTACCTCCCAAAAAAAAAAAGTTTTGTTGAAATCGGTTGAAAATGTAGAAATCTGATCCCATATATAAACGAACACACACACACACAAAACAACCTGGGTTTTATAATAAGTATAACTCGATATGAGTTGTCCCCCTTTCATTCTGGCGACAGAATCATGTTTTATCGTGTTTTCAAATTGATTTCGTGCAAAAACAATTGTCTTTTTCGAATTTTTGGCGCTGTCAGAACCACCAGAAGCTAATTCTACGTAGTCCTGTGAAGTTTTGTTGAAATCGGTTGAAAAATGTAGGAAATCCGATCCAATATAAACGTAACGTACACACACACACACACACACACACACACACACACACACACACACACACACACACACAATCTGCGTTTTATAATAAGTAAGATTTCTGTGATCATAAAATGGGACTTCAGTGGTACAGGTTAAAATAATTTTCTTAATACTTTAGGGCTTAATTTTTAATGGGGTAAAGATGAATTATATATATATATATATATATATATATATATATATATATATATATATATATAATAATATATATATTCTCTAACTGGAACGTTACGATCACCGAAGTTAAGCAACATCCATGTCAGCACCTTAGATGCATGTGAATACGAGTTACTGTAAGCTTGGATGTGCAGGTGGTGTTATGCATAACGGCTTGGATGTTTTTTAATCGGAGAGACGAGTTCCAATTCCAGTTGGCTTCATTACATTCACTTACAC